ATAATAATAATAATAATAAGCTGGTAGCAGTTATCTATAGAATAAGCGAACCATTCAATTAAAGTGTTGTGTCTTAGATTTTATTTATTTTTTAATTACATGTATATACTTTTTCACACCTAAAGGTGTAAATTGAAGGTGTGAAAAACTTAATATAAAAGTTCAGAGTGTGAACAAGCTTAGCTACTCTGTACTTAGCATTGATTAGTGAAAAATTGTTTTTCTATTGTAAATTATGATTAAGTTATTATTGTATCTGCTACAAAAGATAATGCATCAAGAAATCCTAATAATAACAATAATAATAAAGGTCCATTAGTTTCAATATAACACTATATCTTTATCTATTTCCCAAAGCTGTATTGAATTTTGCAGGAACACTTAGCAGCTCCAGTGAACCCTCTCTTGCACAGTTTAGTGAAGAAGTTGCTACCAGTACAGGTACATATGTTGCATATACCAAAGAGCCTCTTCTTGAGAGTCACCAGATTCCAAGTATGTGAGAGAGGGCCAAAGTTGTTCCTGTCTTTCCAGTGGATCTAAGAAAGAAATGATAAAAATAAAAACTGAACATTTGTTAGTAATAATAATAATAATAGTCTATTAAGTAAAAGAAAGGAAAGTTAGAATTGGAACAAAGCTAGGACAGGATAAAAATAAGAATAAAATTAAGTTGATAAGAATAAAAAATAAGTTAATAAGGATAGAATTAGTTTAAGCCTAATAAATGATGGTAATTATTATTATTATATTTGTTATTCTTTTATTATTTTAATACCATTATTTATTATTCTTATTATTATTATTATTATTATTATTATTATTATTATTATTATTATTATTATTATGCAATAAGACACAAAGGGGTAAACAATAACATAGAAAGAAAAAGGGAGTGGTCCTTAGAGAATTAGAAGAACTACAGAAAGCAGACAGGAAAATAAACGAGGAGGGGATGAAAGAAGAGGATAGAGGAGAGAAAAGAGAAACTATAAAAGAGTCAAACAAGCCAATCGACTTGCGGAGGAAGAGCAGCAAATCGACAGGACCACATACAGGCATTAAAACGCCATAAAGTTACCGAAAGACGTTATTATTATTATTATTATTATTATTACTCACTGAGCATTTAGGTCCCCATTTCCATTTACATGATATGGTTCTCCTCTGCCACCATGCTTCCACACCTATTGTACCTCTGGTAGTACTGAACACCTCAAAGCAAGCATTGGCATCTCCTTTGGGTTTCTCTTCACAGAGTGAAGTGGAGGCTTCTGGAGTGATTGTGTATATAATGGAAGCTGGCACATCCAAACCAACTTTAAATATTTCCTAAAAGAGAGAGAAAGAGAGGGAAGGGAAGGAAAGAGAGAGAGGGAGAGAGAGTACATAAAGATACATTCAAATAGAAGGGCACAACGCTTCATACCAGTATGGTAGCTGAAGCTTCTCCTTTAACAGTTAGTGTAGGCCCAGTAATCACATGAGCTAAAGCTTTCAAGTTCTTATCATTGTCCATACGAGCAATGTATGCTTCAAATGTTGCAGTTCCAACAATTTCACCAGCTATATCGAGACTCAAGTATCCAACGTATATAAAGAACTTGTAGCCTGCTTTGAATACGAGTAGCTTCTTTTGAAACTCGCGTTTGTATTTGTACTCTTTAGTCTCCTTGTGGTGGTCATTGAAAAGTGTATATCCAACAACTTTCATGTACCGTCTGTACTCTAAAGTACTCACCGACTGATCATCAGGGACTTCTCTTAAATAACTAAAGATAATATCAAGAG